CAAATGGCCAGGAATATGGATGAGTGCAGAATATGGGAGGGAGTTTGGGAAGGGAAAAAGATCTGGGAGGGGACGAGGTCAGAACAGTGAGGGAGGGCTTATTTTATACTTGGGAGGCCAGGCGGGCGGGCGGCGTTTACAGTACGGCATATCGGGAGGCTACACCAGAAACGGCAAAACTAGCCGGAACAGGAAATTCACAGGTCCTGGTTTTACATTCTCAATCCTCCCCCTCAAATTATGCAGCATATCCAAGCGAGTCCCCGAAATGCACAATCCTTTGAACCCTGTTATACATTATGCACTCCTTCGGCACTACCGGAGCAGCACAACAGCAAACAGGATGATCGGCAGTGCAATACAATCTGAGGCTGTGAAGGTGGGTTTTTTGTTCGGAATCAGCCCTCGAGGCTGAATGCGCGATGTAACGCAGGATCCTTATTTTATTGTCCTGCAGAGTTTTATGGGAATCTGATTCGTTGAGTTGGATTGGTGAATTGGGGGATACGAGTGATCGTCGAAGGTTTTTGACCGGATTGAGTATGGTCGGTTGGGCCAGGCGAGATGAAGAATGTGGATGCGAATGCGCCTTGGTGGAGGCAGGAGATGCGGAGGGGAGGGTATATAGAAGGCTTTCGCCCCATTCCGGACTTTTGAAGGCAAAAAGAAATCAAAAACAACAATTGAAATGTCTATTAGAGGAATCAGTCTTCTCGCAGCCTCTGCGCTGTCTGTCTTCGCGGCTCCGGTCCGCGTGCTGAATGTTGATTTCCCGGATCCCAGCCTCATTAAAACCGACGATGGTTGGTACTCCTTTGCTACGGCTGGAAACGGGGTACAAGTCCAAGTGGCCACCTCGTCGGATTTCAAGACCTGGGAGCTGCTAAAGGGCCACGATGCTATTCCTGGCCCGTTCCCGGATTGGACTAAGAAGGAGGGTCCGGAGGTTTGGGCGCCTGATGTGATTGAGAGGGTACGTCTGTTTCCACCCAATTGATGCCAAAACGCAAGCTGATATACGATAGGACGACGGCAAATTCATCATGTACTTCTCTGCCCTAACCAGCAAGGACACCTCCGCACACTGCATCGGCACCGCAACCTCAACCTCCATCAAAGGCCCCTACACCCCTAATGACAAACCCCTCGTCTGCCCGCTCGACCAAGGCGGTGCCATTGACGCCGTCGGCTTCCAAGACGACAACGGCACGCGCTACGTGATCTACAAAACCGAAGACGCCGAGACCACAATCCACCTGCAACCCGTGAAATCAGACGGCATCACTCCCAATGGCAACACAACGACCCTCCTCCAAAAGGAATCCGACGACGGAATCCTCATCGAAGCACCTAGTCTGGTCAAGAACGATGGCACGTATTACCTAACCTTCTCATCGCATCGTTTCGATTCCCCAGATTACGATGCGAAATACGCAACTGCGAAGAATGTCGCAGGTCCGTACACGAGACAAGGACAGATTTTGAAGACCGGCGATAAAACGAATAACGGGACTGTGACTAGTCCTGGGGGTGCAGATTTCTCGGAGGATGGGAAGAAGATTGTCTTCCATGCGCATCGGAATGGGGAGGATGTTAGTCAGGGGAGGGCGATGTATAGGGCGAATATTAATTTGGATGGTGGGAAGATTACTATTAATTAGTTAGGTTCACGTTCCTAGGAGTATTATTAATGATTAATTATGCACTTTCTATTCACAAATGCTATCCATATCCATATTGCAAGAAATAAAACAGAATGGTATCATGCAATAACAAAATCAAGAACAACCCAAATCAATCATGCCCCCTCTGCGCATCCTCCATCCCATGCCAAACCCTAATAACATGCGCCCTCTCCTCCGTCCCCGAAGCACACATCTCCTCAATCCCCTGCGCAATCCTCGCGGCGATAAAATGCTTACTCGAGCTTCTCGACAGCGATTTTCGTAGATTCTTGTGGATGCCGTCGAGGGGGTAGCCTGCTAGGCCCCAGATGCCTGTTCGCTTCATTAGCAAGGTTTTTTTTTTTTTTTTTTTTGAAGGGAGGGTTAGTGGTGAAGGGAGAGATACCAGCTGCAGGTTTCAGGACTACACCCCCGATACCCTTTCCGACGCCTTTTAGGAGGCCTGTTGGACCGGAGCGTTGGAGGCCGGCGTGGGGTTGGGTTATTAGGCCTGTTAGGCCTTGGTAGAAGCCGCTTGTGAATTCCTAGACATTTGTCAATATCTACTGCACGCATACAAGATGCATTTGGATTTAAAGAGGAGCTCACAGTTCCAGCTGCCCGAAACCCACTCCGTATCCCCATGACCTTCGGAAACGCCTCGACCATACGATCATGGTAGAGTTTCGGTGCGTTATGGAAGCCCTTTGATAGACTGAGTGTTATGTCACCGGGTAACATAATGGCCCAGTCGATTACATGTTTCGCGCATTGGCCTGCGCGGTAACCTACGTCTGATAGGGCTTCTGCTCTTCTTTCTTTTCGTTTTTCTTTGCTCGTGGCAGTGGTCGTTGTCGTGAGTTTTCGGGTTATATCTTCCCCGTTTCTATTGTGTTCTGGTTCATCTAGGTCGGCATTTTCTGCATCGGCATCGGATTCTTCGGGGCCAGGACCGGATTCAACTTCCGGTACTTGCTCGGGTTCAGGTTCATGTTCGGGTTGGTTTTGTGGTCCATGTGCGTCTAGATTATCGTATGCTTGGTTCTGTCCTGCTTCGCGCGTTGCGCCGACGAAACCTGTTGGTATGTCACGGATGTTGCCGATGAAGGCGGATATGGCGCTGTAGAGGACTCCTGCGCCGGCGGAGAGGGGGCCTTTGGGGTCGCGGTGGGTATTGTATTCTTGGGGGCGGTATCTACATATCTTAGCGTGTGGTTGTTAAATGGCTGAGGCTGAAGGGGGGAGCGTACAGTTCTACATTGAATGGTTTGAGAAAACCAGCTTCTACAAGCACCGTTGCTGCGAATGCACTGAGTCGTATGTCTGAATGTCGGATTTGCCATGCAGCCGGTCTGTCTGGACAGATTGAGCAACGGAGATTATCTAGATCCAAGTGGCGATAGAAACAGTGTACGGCGCTTGCGACGCCATCTTCAGATTTCATGTTCTTGCCGATTTCGTCTGCTCTTTCGAGTGTCGACGATTCTAGGGCTTTATTGATGGCGTCTTTTAGTTTCTCTGTTGTTAGTTGTTTCCAAGGTACTGGCTCCGGGCCTGCGCCTGCGCGGGCGATAATGTTTCCCCAGAATTGTTGGTCGCCGAAGAATGGGATTACTACTGTTGGTCGACCAAGCGCGAGTCCGGCGGCTGTAGTCCCAGCGCCACCGTGATGGATCACGCATGATACACGCTGGAACAACCAGTCGTGGGGACAGTTTCCGATTAGGAAGATATTATCCGGGACGTCGACTTCTTCGGAGCCGATATTACCCCAGCCCTTGGCGACTAGTGCACGGTGACCGGTTTCTTTGACGGCGTCGAAGACTGTTCGTGTTAGTTTTGCCGCGTCGTCGACGACGATTGAGCCGAAGCCGATGTATATCGGTGCCGGGCCTTCGTTGAGGAATACCTCTAGATCTTCGGGTGGACGGTAGTCACTTCCTGAAGAGAGGAAGCTGAAGCCGCAGACGTCGACGTTTTCGCCCCAGTCGTCAGGTTTGGGAAGGAGAGACGGTGACCAGAGGTACGAGTAGGGGATTTTGAGTCGGGGGACTAGACTTGGGGCTCGACTGCCGTCTAGGGGGTCCAGGCCTAGGAGGCGTTTCCGGAATTTGTTGATTAAGTCGCCTAGACCCTCCCATATCATCATTTCGACGATTGTATAGGAGGCGAAGTTGGCGACGGAGCGTTTGGCGTTGCGCGCGCGGACCTGGGCGAGTGGATGGGGGAAGTATTGCGTTGGAGACCAGGGCATCCTACTCAATAAGTATGTCTCTTTCAATGGATATCGAAGTTACTAACGTAAACATCATATGCAACGGAACCCCCAGCTTCTCCGCACAACTAATATGCGCATAACTTGGAGGATTCGCGATGATCGCATCCGCCACAAACGGTCGACTCTGATAATCTACCGTCTCGCTCCACGGATTATCTATAGTCTGTTGCTCACCCGTTCCATCGCCCATCTCATGACACGACCTCCAACACCCACTGAAAATCTCTTTCATTTCCTGTCGTCGTCTCGCGATGGCCCCGCTGCGGATGGTGCGCAGATCAGGTAACAGACCTGGATTCTTGACCATGAATGCCATCAGCTCGCCCGGATCTCCGCCAATACTGAAGAATTCCAGGCCATTTTCGTTGACAAAGTCCTTGAAGTCGAGGTGGGTGGCCAGGCGCACGCGATGGCCGTGTCGTTTTAGTTCTTTGCCCAGTGCGATAAAGGGTTGGACGTCTCCGCGCGAGCCGACGACGTGGATGACTATGTTGAGGTGGAGGGGGTGAAGGCGCTCTTTCTCAGAGAATGGGATCACGGATTCTCGTCGCGGTGGGAGGTCATGGGGATGGTTTTGGAGGTGGTGTAGTAGCCCTGCTAGGTTGGGGTCGTCTTGGCGGACTTTGATGTCCAGGCGACCATCCTCTGCGCTGCATTAGCAAATCTCTTCAGATTATAGACGAGAGAAATCGCATACCCAACACCTGCACTCCCGTATTAAAACCATCCTCCCAGAACTTGGCATGATTGCGACGGTCCGGGATCTGCGCAAGGATCTTAGCAGGCCAGTCTAGGCCGCTGACTCCCGGAACAGGCGCGTTGGGAGACATCGGTAATTGCTAAAGAATAAAACATTTGAATTGAATAGAAGTATTCCTCGTGGAGTCTTTGATGTCTAAAAGGATCGCAGAATTGAGGTATGATGTCATGCCAGATGATGTCACTACCTGATTGCCCTAAACGTAAATCCGTTGAAAAATTCCTTTGCGCGTGGTGTGTACGAAAGGGAGTTTGGTAAATGATCTATTTCCTTTTTATAGCCAGACGGTCATGTGATATCGGGGGGTAGCACCGAATAACACCAGTTACTCAACCGGGCCGACTCGAACGGCACCACTGGGCCGAGGTTCCTAGACGTTCTCCGGTCCTGTTTCCACTAGAGCTCCGGCAAATCGTGTGATGATCCTAATCAAGGTTAATGCTCACTCATCCGGATATGGCCACCTCTTCCTTGCTTCCTCCGGAGATTTTTCTCCAGCCATTCGCTCGATGAACATGGACAGCAGCTTCCTATTCTGTCTTTTCTTTTCCATGAAATCCAACCGAGAGTCTATCCATCCTTCAGCATCTGTATCCAGGCATGTCTGTGCAAGTTGTTGAACGTCATTCCAAGCTTCATATTCGGCAAATCGGTGTTCATGCAGGTTAATTTCTTCTTCCGCGAATGAAAAAGGCCACCGCTCGGTGAAACCGTAGGTTGACCAGTTCTGGAATATTTCTATCAGGCATGCCTGAAATGGAAGAATTCCCACCTCGGAAACCTCGCCACAGCGGATGAAAAGTTCTCGGAAAACACGCGGCATATTCATGGCATTATGTGCAGGCCTGTTTTTGAGATATGTTGACACTTCATATGCTTTTGCCAACTTTGCTTGAGGGAACTCTTGCTGTGTAATGGTCTTGTCATCTTCGTCTAACTCATCAAAATTATCCGGAAGCTTTGGTTGCACGAACCCCTTTGGGTAATTCTGAGGAGGTTTGAGGAACCTGGGCCAGCGAGCCTGGAGAAATGCCGGTAACACTGACTCAGACTGAAAGTCAATCGGAGATGTTATGCGAGAGCTGTCGTTAGGTACCACTTAAATATTTCACATGTGGAGATCCGTATGCCACAGTGTAGGCTGGGTAGACTGCGCGAGTCTTAAATAGGAGTCCAACATTAGCATAAGCCTTATTGTTGATTCTAGGAGACGGGCTTTTTCGTCAACGCTTCCGTTGCTGGCTGTTGGAAAATCGCCCAAGGAGTCACATAACACAGCCTTGTTCGAAAATCTTTGTCAATTATTGCATTACCCTAATTTAGCTACCAGTGGATGATACGCCTCTATTTGTCTAGAAATGGATTGTATTCTATCAACATATCTGCACCGGTACTGTCACTGTAATCTTGGACGTCTTGCCCCATTGACCCTCGACACGATACAAAAACGATAGCTTCATCGAGTATATTCGCGCAACAAGACATGAGAGGAATGTCGGGATATACGCCGTCTTGTCCGGCAAAATAACAGAGACTTGCACAGATGCCGTATAGGTTGTCGACTCTTGTCTGAGATCCTTCTCCGAAATGGACGTCTGCCATTCTAATGCACCCAATTGACATGGCTGCAAAGGCATCATCCGCATGTTCAATCTATTATGGTACGGATACATCGACGAATCTATCAAATCCGGGAAATCGGGCCATGGTTCCAGGGAAGAAAAGGTGAGGATATTGAGTTGAGGATGGGTTGACTGTAATTCTGGCGGTGGTGATCGTGCCGAGGTAGTATATTGCAGGTTTGCTGTAATGGTTGTAGTCAGAAGACCGAATTGTCGATGTGACTGAACGGCAGCCGGCTGTGCTGTTTTGACGGATAATGTCCCTAATTCCCGTGGACACCATCCCCCAATAACCTTCTTCTCTTTACTCAAACAGTAATATCGACTTTCCCATGGGATAAGTAGCGGTGGCCGTTCTTTTCGCGATGAGCGGATATGTACTGGATGCCTCCATTCTGCGATTGTTCTGATAATACCAGTCTTGCGACAGCTCTCGAACACCCGAAGACATATTGAATACGTGATATCGATACCCTCTGGTGCCATATCATCCACTATTGAGTCCTTAAGCTGCCGGATAGACCGTTGACCCATACTTAACGGAAGTTGACAATGTTCCCAATGGACCTGCTCGTGACGATGCGAATGTCGACAGACATTATGGGGGATTTCGGCCGGCACAATAAAATCGAATGGTAAGAGGTACGTTGTCCCGATTTCTAGACTCGCGGGCTTCGAATGCGGTAATTCAGTTAACGGTTGTTGCATGCGGAGGAAGGTCTGCGATGCTGCTGATGGAGGTAGAGGGATGTTGGTTTCGTTGGTGTCCATGGATACGGTGGTTGTGCCTGGATGGTCAGCTAACAACTCATTAGAGGCTGAGTGAAGGTATACCTTTGAATGACAAGTTCAATTGATCCGGAGCAAGTAACTGCTGGGGAGTGAACGAAATTGTACCTTCAATCCGGTCATGAATGCCATAGCTTCGTTGCGAGTCTGTCAGGAGCTGCACATCGGCGCAGGGCTTGTTGAACATCATGCACATCTTGGAATCCTGCACCTTATTCAGATTCTGTAAAGTGCATTAACCAGCTTTTCTTATTTTTTGTATATATATATATATTTATCCTCATCGGCAATTCGACACAATGCCGAATGCTGAGGGCTCGGGATACCGGTCAAAATACGAAAACCGCATCGGGAATCGTAACGGCTCATTCCTCTATTGAAACGCTTTCTGCTCGTGGGGAAAACGGCAAAGTACTGGCTTGATTCATTTCTATCTTAGGTTGAAGGTTGCTGACCCCTGTCAGGTAATCATTGTTTATTGACATCTCCAGTCAGAATCAATTTTTCGGTACAGCAAGCCCCTTATTCTTTTCATCATAACCCGGCTTGTGCGCCTTGAAGAAGTGCTTTTCATACAATAACAGGTTAGTCGTTAAAGCATACCCCATCGCCTTAATTTCAAGGTCTAGTTCGGCCCCGAAGACGTTTCTGTTTCCATCGGTTGGGAACTAGTCGATTCAGTTGTACACGGTGGGGGGAATTATGGACTTGGAATGGGTAACGGAGGGACTTATGGAGTCCCGCGGCTCAAGTCTGGCATTGCATATTAACTGACCTGAATCAATATGTTCTGTATTTTATTTAATATATATTATGGCTGTACCACGGATGCGTACAATTCTTCACCTCTACTCGCGAGCCAGCCTATAGACAATACCTCTTAGAAGAATGAGCAAAGGTACATTGGTACCTGTTGCAGTAGCCACTGGACGACAATTGAATAGCGGCCCGTATTCATGTTTAATATCTTGAGCTTCTTCAAAGTAATATCCAAAGTATGTGATTTCATTATACAAACTTCGTATGAACAGCGACACCTTAGATATTATCCCCCAATTCTCTTAAGCAATCTCAAGTCTGCGTTATATGACACGTTTTCGTTCACGGCGATCATTGGCTTTTATTTTATAATAAATTTTTTTTTTTTTTTTTTTTTTTTTTTTTCGTCGGCATCCTGTCTGGATGTTGATTATTCAGGGCTCGGGAAAACGCCTTTTCGCCTCTCGGCAAGATCGCAAAATGCCGACTAACTTTTCACTTCTCAACTTCAACCATTAACCCATGCATGAACAATAGAAAAAGAGATAGTTACATACATAAGACCCTTGCAGAAAATATGCCAGTTCATAAACCACCAAAGTTCCACAAAAAGAAACCCGTGGCGTACGTCTGCCTCGTGCCATGAGACCCAATATGCAATGGGACTAACCTACATCTCAGCTGCCAACGATGCCACGCGCACAAGGTCAAATGCTCCGGTGACCATCCCTGTTCCCGATGCCACCATGTCGGCCGGGGCGAAGAATGCCAGTACTCGCTGCGAGACCGCAAGTTAAAGATCAACGAGAGTTATCTCGACCAGATTCTCGCGGAGAACCACCAACTACGAGCGCAATTACACTCGCGCCAGGTTTCTATTACTTCTGATACTTCGGGTTTTGGTCAGAATCAACGGCGTGGGTCGAATTCTACTTCGCCCGTTCGGAATCCGCTCCTTGGAGATCGCGCTTGGTTTTACCCCTACGATCCCTCCGCGCCACCGATCTATATGGGTGAAGCAGCATGTACGGCTTTTGCAACGCGCCTACGCCAGTTTCTTACCGGGAACCCGGAAACAGCGCACGTAGCGCGAACACAATATACACCCGAATCGGCCTTGGTAGAAGCAGAAACGCAATGGCCGCGTCTACCACAGGCTCGGTTACTCGTTCGTGTGGCATTTAACCAACTCAGTCGTGTATATCATCTAGTCCTGCGCAAGGCAACACTTGACCAGCTAGAGGATCTGTACAAGTTTCCGGGGAAGAGGGAGGATCCCGCGTGGACGGCCAAGTTCTTTGCGCTGTTTGCGCTGGGAGAGGTTTATTCTTCGAGAACGGATTCAGCGGCTACGGCTGGGGGGAGGGTACCGGGGACGGGGTACTATGTGCGGGTTATGGGGTTGATATCGATTTTGCCTGAGAGGCCGGGGGTTGTGCATATGGAGAGCTTACTTCTTTTGGTATGTTTATTCGGGTTTAATCTAGAATACAAGTTAACAATGCAAATGCAGTCTCTATTCTCATACTTCCTCAACCGCCGCCACTCCGGCTACACATTAATTGGCACCGCCATGCGCATCGGTTTAATCCTAGGTCTAAACCACAACATCCCCGAACGCCAATGCCCAGACCCCATCGAGCGTGAGCACCGCGTCCGCATCTGGTGGGCTGTGTATATCTTCGACCGCATGTGGGGATCAAAAACGGGCTTCTCATTGCAGATCCGCGATGAAGATATTCACGTCGACTTGCCGAAAGAAGTCTCTTCTCCCGCAGCAGCAGAGCAGTTCTCGGATACCGCGTATCTAGTGGCGAGTGTGCAGCTCGCACGGATCGTGGGATTGATTATTGAGAAGATATATAGTCGGAAGGAGCACAGAGAGTCGTTCTTACAGAGGGAGCAGCAGTTACTATTGGCGTTGCAGGGTTGGATGCAGGAGTTACCGGCGCATATACGGTTACCCGGAGATGATGGTCCACCAGCAAAGCATATTGTTTCGCTGCATCTGCAGTTTAATCAGGTACTTACACCTCCCACCAGACCTTTTGCATTATCTCCCTAACAAAGCAGTGCGTGATTCTCGCAACCCGCCCAATCCTCCTCCACGCCCTCTACCAACACCACGACACCCACAAACCCACCAACAAAACATTCCAAACGGCCCAAGCCGTAATAACCCTAAGCGAAGCCTGTATCCACGCGGCGCGACACTCTCACGCCCTCGTCGTCGATGAATGGATCAACGGGTCTCTCCCTATGTACGGTTATTTCTACGCACAGTATCTCTTCTCGTCGACCTTGACACTAGTCATCTCAAGTCTCCTAGGGTCTGGTGCTATAGGTAGCGCTGTTGACATCGAAGCCCTGGAAACGGGAATCGAGATCCTACACAGAATGACAGACCACGGGAACCTCGCGGCTGCGGAGTTCTATGAGAATCTCATACGGGTTAAGCAGACTCTCAATCCATCTACAAACCTCGCAGATGAAGACTATCGTGAGAACCATATCCACGAACATATTACCAACAGCAGCGTCTATAATACCCCAGATGCGATCGTGGATCTACCTCATCTGCCCAATACCTCTACGGCATCTGGAATCGGGTTTACCACTGAAATGGCGTTTCTGGAACCGACTATGCAGGATTTCCTGGGGAGGTCGGGGAGTGACATGGATTTGGTGCAGCCGGAGGAGCTTTTGTTAGGGGAGTTGGATAGTTGGCCTACGTTGTGGACGGCGTGAAATGATTTGTGATGGGTCTGGTTATGTATATATTTCTTTGGAGGTGCGGGTTGGCTATTTATATATATCCATGCAGACCATATCGGATTCAACATTAAGATTTATTATCTTGTTACAATCATGGATGTTAGAGACAACTAGCTCTGCTTGCAATTAGCATAATTCCTGCGCTGATCAAGCACCAAGCAAAATCAACCAATCTGGATCGGCCCAACTGGCGCATCCAACAACGTCAACAAAGTCTGCACAATCGTCTCCCCCAGAACCGCCAACGCCCTCGGATCCAACAAACTAGTAAACGATGTCGACTTCGAACATCCTGCTTTGACAGGAACCCCATTCATCCGATCCTCCAGCCACAAAAACGCATCCGGAATGCCAATAATAGCCAACGAAGCATGCTCAGAGAGGACGTCGCGCTTGTACTCCACGCGAGATCCGGCATCACAGTACGACGCGACGAGAGAGTCTGTGTTGTTGACGGGGGAGATTTCGTCGCCGGCGGATTTGTACACGAGCAGGGGGGTTTCGGGGTTGTGGTGGCCCATGGCGTTGGCGTCGATGACTTTGCTGGCTGTTGCGGAGGTGAAGATGTCTTTGTCTTTGACGAATGTGTACACGTCTTTGTTGAGGTATTCGAGGATATTTCCTGTTAGACAGAGGTTCTTGGTTTTGGAGAATTCGGCGGCCTTGGCTGGGATGAGGTTTTGTTGGACCAGGTTGTTGATGTCGGGGTATTCGTTGGCGAGTCCTTGGATGCCTGCTGGAATTAGGCCGGCGAAGGGGCTCTCGTTGGTTTCACGAATGACGGGCAGGATCTGTGGGACGGTGCCGCCCAGCGCGGCACCTTGGATCTTGAGCTCGGGGGCGTAGCTGGGTTGTAGCTCGGCGGCGAAGCCGCTGGCAAGACTGCCTCCTGAGTATCCCCAGAGGGCGATGATGGGATCAGACGACAGATCGGTCAAATTCGTGGACGCCTTGGCCGCCCGGATGTTGTCCAACACGACGTGGCCTGACAAGTGGTTGGCCAGGAAAGCCGACTTGGGTCCCAAATGATCGGGCACTGTCACGACCCATCCCCTTTGCAAGGCGGCAGCAATGAGGATCAGTTCCAGTTGCGGCATCACCAGACCCAGCACGCCATCATGGGCAGCCTCAAGTTGGAATGCGTAAGAGGGAGCGCAGTTGGGATCGGCCGCATCCTGGGCAACTTGGTAGGAGAGTAGCTTGGTATAATCGGCATTGTGAGGCACGAGGATCGTGGATACGGCCGCAATTGGTTCACCAAAGGAATCAGTCGTCCGGTAAAGCAGCTGATGCGCCGAGTGAAGGTTCACTTTTGCCAGACTGAAGGCCGCAATGGGCTTTGGGGGCGTCCGCGATCGCAGGATGTCACCTGGAGCTGCCGATTCGAAACCTTTAGGCGGGATATAAAAGGTGTCATTGACCGGAAGGATGGAATGAGTCGCTGGTGCCGCCAGGGCCGATGTGGCCAGCAACGCAAACAGCTGCAGCAGGAAGAGGACGACCATAATAAGCCGATGGCGGGTACGGGGTGGTTGAGAAGACCATAGCCCCGAGGGAAGTGTCTCTATTTGTAGCAGTTCGCCAAGGACATGACCAGGCTGTTTTCAGCTGCCTAAATTACATCCCTCTTATTTACTTTTCTTTTCTTTTCTTTCTTTTTTTTTTTTTTTTTTTTTTTTTTTTTTTTTTTTCTTCAGGGTGATCAACAGCCGAGGGTGACACTATCGAAAATCATGCCAATAGAGTTCTATTGCGATCCTTATGAGGAACATCTTTGCGGGGTAAGAGAATCTCTGTACTCCACAGTTCGCAGTCGTATCCGAATTCGAAAACGGCCCTTTTCTTATCCTTTTATATGGAGAAGTAACCATGGTACGAAACCGCTCTATCCGGAATGCGGAGTATAGAACCGGACATGTACTCCGTGCCTATGCAAATTCCAGTTATGCAAGTGGCTATGCAGCTATCGATTCAATGCATAAATATGCGTTTCTAGGCGTGATTTTGAGCCCAACAAACACATGTTCGGGTGTTCCCGAATCGGAGAATATGAACCACTGTTCGTGATTGTTTCAGCTGGACGGAAATTGGGATGCCCCAATATTGATCTACCGAATCTCAGCAACGCTCCAGAAAATGGTTCCGTGAAAAAGGCTCCATTATTGCGACCGAGTCCCACTGCCAAAAAGCAGCCCGGCTGGGCGGGCGATCCGTAAGGCGTACAACCGTGGCCTGTATTCGGTAGGATATAACAGGCGTCATGATTCAGCGGTGCTCGTCATGGGTACTGGACTCATGGCATATCCGGTACCGGTGGCAGTACCAATAGCGACCATGGAATAATGCCGTGCCATTGTGTGTACTCCGGAGTATCTCTGCGTGGAATCTGTTAGTTCAGCCAGCCATGTGCCTTCGGAACGGATGTCCGACAGAGGACTTGCCGAGAATAGTATTGGCGATAGCGACAAGGCTAGCGACCGTTAAAGGTAGAGATCCGCGCCTCAATGCTTTTTTTTTTGACAGTTCTAATCGTTTGAATACTGTATTGTAGACAACAAGACGAGAATAGGCATTATACTATGAGTGAGGACATTGTAGATAACGCCACCGTCGGATGCGGCCGGACGTTGTTCCTTCTTGATCCTTCTGGCGTCACTCCCACAATTAAGAATAATCTCTTTCTTTTTTCTTTCTTCCTTCTGCCATCGCCATCTGAGAAGCATACTTCCAGGGTCATTTCTTTAGAGTATCTGTATTTGAATATACTCATTACTCGCCAATCGTCGCATCAATCAATCTTTTCTCTCCTGTCGCGGATCCTCGCGCCGTCGAGCGCACCGCAGAACAATCGCCATGGCGCTCTCCAAAACCAACAAGATCATTATCCTACTGGTTATTGATACTGCCTTCTTTCTGTTGGAACTCATCGCAGGTTCGTCGTTGCCATTGCTCAAGAGTCTTGTATCCAGTGACACTGACAGGAAACAGGTTATACGGTCCATTCCCTTGCCCTTATCGCCGATTCCTTCCATATGGTACGATACACCCGTTCAGGATGAATACATACAGCGTCTAATTGACACGAATAGTTGAATGATGTGCTATCCTTACTCGTGGGATTATGGGCCGTCAAAGTCGCCAACCGCGAGCCAAACTCCAAGATGTATACCTATGGCGTGAGTTATCTTGCCTATCCCTGTTTAGCACTGGTGACACAGTCTAATCTTAAATGCGCATCCTAGTGGCAACGCGCAGAAACACTGGGTGCATTGGTCAATGGCGTCTTCCTTGTCGCCTTGTGTGTCTCCATATTCCTTGAAGCAATCCAACGATTGGTGGAGCCGCAGGAAGTGAGCAATCCGAAATTTGTCTGCATTGTCGGATCCTTGGGTTTAGCATCCAACCTTCTGGGTCTCGCTCTTTTCCACGATCACTCCCACGGCCATGGTCACAGCCATGGTCCCGAAAATGAAAGTATGGAAGACGTGGATGCTGCAGAGCAGGGTTTCGGCCAACAACATGCCGAGGAGTACGAGAATGCCGGGAAGGCAAATGGCAAGCAGGCCAAGGCCACAGATTCGACTTCACCCTATACACAGCGCCGCCGGACCGTGGACAGCCAGGCTCGCGGTTCTCGTCGGTATAGCGCCTCAGCGGGCCGTGGTTTTGATGTAGAGGATATCTCCCATCCCGTGACTTTGCGGCAAGAGATCATCGCTGCAAGCCAGACCAACCGGTATGGAGTGGAAACATCCGAGTCAGATAGCGACGGGCGCGAAGGTGACGAGGCCCCACCATCCGAACGTTCAGCACTTCTGAGCCGCAAGGATCGGAAGTCCAACTACACGGATGAGGATAGTACGCCTACCAACGGACGCGATGTGACCACGGATGACCTTCACCGTCACCACAAGCACGCACAACCAAAGCCCAAGGACGAGAAGGGTGGTCACGGTCATGACTTGAACATGCGTGGTGTGTTCCTTCACGTCATGGGTGATGCTCTGGGAAACATCGGTGTTATCGCCTCTGCGCTTATCATCTGGTTGACCGATTATTCGTGGAAACACTACGTGGATCCGGGTATCTCTTTGTTTATTACTATCGTCATCCTCTGCTCAGCCATTCCTCTGTGCAAAGCGGCGTCGCGTATTCTGCTGCAGGCGGTTCCTTCCGGTCTGAGCATCGATCACATCAAGGATGACATTGAGCAACTTCCCGGGGTTATTGGCTCGCACCACCTCCATGTCTGGCAGCTGAGTGACACCAAGATCGTGGCCTCGATCCACATTCAGGTTGACACGGAAATCAAGGGCGAGGGCTCTGAGCGGTACATGCATCTGGCCCGCCAAGTGCGGAAGTGCTTGCACGCCTATGGCATTCACTCATCCACCATCCAGCCCGAGTTTGCCCCGGACAGCGATACTGAGGACAACCAAGGCGGTCCATCGTCTTCTCGGGCAAGCAAAAATGACCACAACCTAGCAAGCAAGCAGCCCAGCCGTGCTGCCAGTGTCCGTGAGGACGCGCAAGCATGTCTTCTCGAATGCGATGAGAATTGCGCTCGCGGCGGGCAATGCTGTCCTAAGAAGCCTACATAATTGCGCCTTATCTTCTACCGTTTTCATCTTTATACACTCTGTTGATTACCTTATCATCATTATTGACCTGGTTGTATCAATTGTTACTTTCCTCGATGTTTCTCATACCCGCTATTTCTACACAACAGTTTTCGGTTTCACGCAGCACTGATCTCAAGGGTTAACACTATCATAGAACAAAAAATTGGCGTTTGACGGGATGGGCGATTATCATGGATTATACTGCATGTTTTGGACTGACAATTGGACTCTGTGTTATACATTTCTGCATGTATCTTTACTTAATTCCTAATTCAATACTGCATGTTGTTCCTGAGGCTTTATTTAGAATTCCTGCCGCGGTAAATCACGTGTCATGAGCGGTAGATCGGCGCCCATCGCAAAGGAATCATCCAGCGTGAAGCTCTCTCTTCGATAGTAATTCCAATTATAATAACTCTTATGAGAATACTACTATGTTCTGACCCTGACATTTATTTCATTAAAACCGTCAAAATCGACGGTTGACCTGTCATTCACACATTGAACCCCCGAGCAATGCGGAACCGTTGAATCCCCTTTCTACGGAATATTTCCAAGAACCACCATGAGCTACGCCTACTCAAACGGCCCCTTCCGTCCCGCCCGTCGCAATTCCACCTCTTCACCCTCGAACATCCTCGTCCAAATACAAAACGCACTCCCGCCATGGGCGCAGCAATGGATTGCGGAACTACGCGCGGGGCCGCGGGCAGGGAGACGGACGAGTCCAAGTGAACTGAAAGCTATGGGACGGCTTACGATTAGACGGGTGGTTACGATTGCGAATGCGTTGATTCTGTTCTGGGTGTGGACGTTGTGGTGGGGTGAGCGGACGGTGTTTCAGGAGAGTTTGGAGGGGTGTGGTTGGGGGGAGTGGGAGAAGTGGGTGAGTCGTCCTTGCCTCTCCATTTGGGTTAGGGGCTGGAAGCTGATTATTTTTGCGATGACAGCCATCGCATGCTACCCCTCATCATGTCGCCTTCGTCGCCGATCCACAATTAGTCGACCCCCATACGTATCCCGGACGGCCGTGGCCGCTGTCGACTCTGACGGTGAAGTTTACGGATCAGTACCTGCGGCGGTCGTTTTCGTTGATTCAGAGAAATTTCGGACCCGATTCGGTTTTGTTCCTAGGTGATTTATTCGATGGCGGGAGAGAATGGGCGACGGGGACGACGTCTAGCCCCGATGAGCGCTACAGGAAATACAAGGATTCGTTCTGGAAAAAAGAGTACAGTCGCTTTGGTCGGATATTCTCAGACCAGTTTAAGGAAGGGGATGCCCTGTCGCGGGATCCGCTTGGTCGACGGATGATTGCTAGTTTGCCTGGGAATCATGATCTGGGCTTTGGATCGGGGATCCAGGTGCCTGTTCGGGATCGGTTTCAGACGTTCTTTGGGAAGGGGAATAGAGTGGATGTGTTGGGGAATCATACGTTCGTGTCGGTTGATACGGTTTCTCTGAGTGCGATGGACCAGCCGGATCCGCAGACTGGGAGTACGGGGGCTGGAATGGGAGATGGCAAGTCGCCTAATGAAGCGATTTGGAAGGAAGCAGAGGAGTTTCTGAACCAGATGAATGCGCACAGGGCTAAGGCGGAGACACATGAACTGAAGTCACTCCGGGGCCAAGCTGAAGGATATCAATTCAACCATGCTGCCGTGGAGGTTAATGAACCGTCGCTTGGCCAACTCCCGCAGTCGGATACGGTTGGGCTTCCCGCCATCCTTCTCACGCATGTTCCCTTGTATCGCAAAGCGGCGACACCGTGCGGACCATATCGGGAGCATTACCCGCCGTCGTCCAGTGACGAGGAGCTCCAAGAAGACGAGCAGAACTCGCTGAAGATCGGCGGCGGCTACCAGTACCAGAACGTCCTTACGCAGACCATCTCCAACGACCTGGTCTCTAAAGTCGGATCTAACCTCGTGCACGTCTACTCCGGTGATGACCACGATTATTGTGAGATCGCACACCGCGAATTCAGCGGCTCGCCCAAGGAAATCACAGTAAAGTCACTCTCATGGGCAATGGGCGTCCGACGACCAGGCTTCGTCCTCACAAGTCTCTGGAACCCAATCGATCTCACCACGGGCAAATCCCTCGAGAATGTCTCACCTACCCTACAAAACCATCTATGCCTCCTCCCGGACCAATTATCAATCTTCATCCACTACGGCATGATCTTAGCATTAACGTTGGTTATCCTGCTCGCCCGAGCAGTCATGGTAACCATCTACCCCTCCCAATCAACCACAGCCGACGCCGACCCAATCCTCCCCCTCACCAAATTCCAGCGCCATATCCCCACGTCCAGTATATCCAGTTCCACCACTTTCGCACCGCATGGTCTAGCCAGCCGCAGCTCGAATTTGAATTCTAGATCCTTTGAATACTGCCCGGAGAAAGATCACGAGGGGAGTCCGACCAAGAGCACGTTTTCTGGGCAAGGGCACGGACAGCGGCCGGAGAATGGACATGGGAAGGGTGTATTGGGTGCTGTGTGGGGGGTGTTTTGGGGGGAGGTGTGGCTTGTTGCGAAGGTTGTGTTGGGGTGGTATATATTTTTGATATGGAGGTGGTAGTTTTCCATATTCCAGACATTTTTACAGTTCTATAAGTTTAAATAATATCGCATGATATGGAGTTATTTGGGATTGAGAATAATAATCTACTCCGTACTCTTGGGTGACGCTGAATTACTCGAAGCGGTATAACGTGCCTATTTAGGTTTAGCCTCCCATTGAAGGCTCTATTTGCACTTCAGAAGATGGTTTTCAAGTGTGCTGCGAACATCGTTGTTAAAGCGGTGCGGGATATGGATGATTACACTGAGTACACGACTATTATCTCAAGCAACATATACCAGATTGCCCGGCTCCGAGGCCTCTAGGATGCGTGCGAATGAGTGGAATATCACTTATCTTTCTGACTCACAAACCATCGATGTCTCTTGGGGAAGTATGGCATGGCTTGGATAGTGACCAAAAAGCTTCGGTCAGGGATCAGCTGGAGGCTATTTTGACAAAATTAAGATCATTGCCCTATGTAGATGGGCGTCCTCTTGGAGGAGTGGCTGGCGAAGGCTGCAAAGATGCCAGGAGGCACCTTCAGCGGAGTGATAAACTGATCAAAACACTTTGTGAATTCGAGGATTTCTTGTTCTCGAGTTCTCACCCTGGCGGCTTGGTATTCATGGAGCTGCTTCACCAGCTTTCCCCATGCTTGCCCTCTCCTTCCAATATTGTGTTTACGCACGGAGATCTTCGGCCGGATAATATTACAGTAGAGATCCTCAACCATAATCAATGTGTCGTTACCGGCCTTCTGGATTGGGAGTACAGTGGCTTTTACCCAGACTATTGCAAAGCCGTTAGATGAACCAATTGCTTGACTCCGTGCGAGGACAACGACTGGTTTTTGTTCCTTCCTGATTGTATTTCGCCGAAATGCCCATTGGTGGTTCTTGGATCGGGTGCGAGAGACCAGGAGTATGTGACATTGATAACAAGACTTATCAGTGAATATCTCGCGCTTGCAAGTGTGTCATTACAGAATCGCTCCCCTCTTTTCCCCCAGTATTTCCCTGGCATCACGATAGTCCTCATCACTTTCCAAAATACATTCGTCTTCCGACTTGTCAAGAATGTCCAGCACTTATTCCTGACAGTCCCACTCTACTGTCTCATTGTCCACGGGCACTGTCTCTGCAGCCTGTTTCACAGTTTCTATATCGTCCTTGCTAATCACGCCGATGTATAGCTTCTGCAGAAAGCTCCTAGACTTCTCGGGTCGTGTTGTCACGATATTGTGTTTGAATTTCGGATGTTCGCCGATAACTTCGAAAATGAGCGGCTCTTTATCGTCTAGGTACAAGCCCCAGTGTTGGTAATTGCCATAACGAAGTCGATAGAATACAACGTAAAGTTTTGGAGAGACCATTGTTCTTTGTGAGCCTGACCTGCAGTCAGTGATGATAGCATACAAGAATTCCCAAACTGCCCAGATACCGTTCCTACATTCATTGTGTTGTAAAATGTGCTAAAATCCTTCAAAATACCGTCCCAAAATTGCGGGATCTTCAGCTTTCCGGTGACAATTTAAGATCACACAAACCAGCGAGGAAACTTTTTGGAAGGCCCGGAAAGCCATCCATTTTGCTCTCAAACCCTGCTGCGGTTCAATCAGGAGTAATACTACCGTCTATTGTTCCCGAAAAAATCTCAGTGGAATGACCTACCCTGGGAAAGCTCAGTCCCTTACGTTAACAACTTACGGAGTATCCTGTACTAGGATTTATATTTTGTTTGACCATTTGCGGACTGCCACTAGTCTTTGATGAAAATAATTACTATAGGTAACCGTTGTGAATAGGCCTCGCCGAGACCCTCCACCCGACCCTCAAAATGAGGGTATTAGGGTGACCCTCCGAGGGTTACCCGCGGGTGAGGGCGAGGCCTAGTCCCCCCGACTTCCATGGATGGAATTTGTCAAGGTCTAACTGGTCTTGTATCGAAATCTGAAGAGACTTCTAGGCGACAAGAAGACAGAGCCAGTTAAGAGCAATACGCTACAATGGATATAATTTATAAAACAGACATCAAAGGAAAGGAAATAGTCTCCATGGTGTACTGCTACATATAACATATAACCATACTCATGTAAACTATCAGACAGGAGAGTTAACCCTTCTTGGCAACTGCACTTCTCTGGAATTCTTCCGCGGTCTCTTTTATCTGTTGAAATTTGAAGCCCCGTCAGCATGTCATCAAATAGCAATTGATGGTGATTATGGAAACACACCTCTTGGTACTTCGCAACAGCCTTGTCAATGTTCCTCTCAATCCACGACTTTCTCCACTTCAGTGCGCTGGCTTCGACGCCCTTCTCGATACCATCCAGATCTTGGATGATATACTGGAAATTCAGCTCTTGGGAGTTGAACAACGCTTGTAGCTCTTTCATGGCAGCAAGAGCCCTGGTCATCATAGGAAGAAGGTCTTTCATCTGAAAGATAATGGTGTTGATGTACTCCATGAGCTTCACTGTAACAGCCTCCTCGGCACGGTCTGCTGCAATCTGAATTACTAATTTATCATACTGTGCTTTGGCCTTCATGGCAATGTCTGTTAGGATTCCGCCGGCGATCCAACCGAGGATCCCTAAGGGAATTGAGATGATTGCACCGTCCTTGGCTGTATCCTGTTGAATTGGTGGTTAGATAGGACGGCACTTGGTAAGAGAAGAGATATTTACCCATTTGGAATAAGCATCATCTCTCTTGGTGACTGATTCGTTGATCGACTTGAGTAATCGCGTCATTTCGGCATTCAGAAATTCAGAATACGGTTTCTGGTTCTTTATTTCCTGTTTCGTTTTAACATTGATAACAGGACCGTCGAAATATTCCTGTTTGAGCAACTTGGCATTATTTTCATCAAGAACCGTTTTGTTATGGAACTATTGAATCATCTTGTCAACAATCGACCATCGAAAGAAAGAAAGAACTGAAGGATCACCTACCGCGGTCAACAATGTTACCATTGCCTCTGCATCCTCCTTCTTATCTCTGGCTGTGTCTCGCAGTTGCTCAAGGGCCATTTTTGCGCCTTCCCGCGCCTCATCAAAGGCTTGGTCTTTTGGTCCATCCTTGTACTTGGGATCCAGGAGCACTGCTACCTGCGCCTTGAAATTTGTCTCTGGTTCGAGTTTCAACATACCCATGGCTTCGGTGGCGTACGCAATTACACCATTGGCCGAGGTCACTGATTATTATTAGTAAAGGATAGGTGTGAAGCATTATGAGACACCCTACCAAGTTTTCCGAGCCCGTTATTATTGAAATCATTGCAGTTGGCGGAAATAGAGACGATCGAATCTCGCGTAAACTATTTATATACAATCTATTAGCCATGGTACACGCTTCGATCATAGATGCTCACATACCGTAAAGATACCAGAATCGATATCATTCAAACTCTTGAAGTACGATTCGGGCAGATTTCTCTCGAAATCATCCTTGGTCTCGGGGAACTGCATGCCCGACATGACATACCTTTGCAAATCTAGTAGGAATCAGACACGGCATTTTATTCCTCGAAAGAAGATTCGTCCGTGGACTAACATACCATGGAAGCCATCGGTCTGCAGAATAAACCGATTTGTACTCTGGTCGGGCCGTTCCTTAACAACGGAGTTCGGTGACTCCACAAGAGCCTTCTCAAAGGCCTCCTTGCTCTTCGCTTCGTATTGGTCGCTGGGTTTCCACTCTTCGGACATGTTGAAAGAATTAAGATATCCTAATGGACTGTTGCAATTGGAAGTCTCCGAGGGCGAAGAGATAGCGGTTTATATAACTCTACAACACAGCTAGTTGATGTCTTCGTTCTCACATACGTGCGCACTATTGCCATGCTTCACATTGGTCTAGATAAATTTATAGAACAATGGACACGTCACTCATTGCATGAGTCTGTCTGAATATGAGGATCAATGCTGTTGGTCAGTGGGATGTGGCTGGCCGAAGGCAGCTGAAAAAGAATCAAAAGAAAAAAAAAAAAAAAAAGCTATACATTGTGATGAATCTAATTACAAGACTACATGTTCAGCTGAACTTGGACACTCATCGGGAAAGATTGACAACCCCTGCAATTGAATATCGGGGAACTGACTACTCAGTATAGATCAGAGTATGGGTGCAGCTAAGTAGGTAAGAACCTTTCTTTTTTCCCACACCTGTAATTGGGAAGTAGACCACCACCATTCACTTTTGCAATTGAATATACTAAATGACTCCGACCAGGGTAGTATTGTAGTATTTAGTATATTTGCTTGCGTATGTACTCTGTACTTTCTAAAGATTCAGCTAATGACATGTCCCGATATTGAGAACGGCTTGGCCCGGTTCTGTTGTAAATTGCCGATTATTTTAGTCCAGGCCTATTGCTGCGCATGTATATGGAGATCAGGCCTCATAGCGGGGTCGCCTAAGGTCTGAGGATAGGGATCTCGGCCCCAGCATAGCGGCCAGTAGACTAGTTGCATAAGCGGGGGTTCCACCTTCAGAGTAGCTTGATATATGAGAACTGAACCTTTAAAAATGTCAACTACTGTAGCTCGGAATTATGTCGTAGTTACTTTTCAGACTGAATAGAGGAAGAAGTCTGATTCAGAAAACTATCTGTCGGCCATCAACTAACTACTAAAGGAAATCGTTGCGAACGAATTCTAAAGGGACGAAATTAGTATAAAGTGTATAACGCATGTATGCGTTGGCCGTAGTCCAGAGATGCTAGCTGCATAGCTATAGTCCCCTAATCCTATCATCTTCCATCATACCTATACATATATACTCTCAGGCAGCCATTAGTCGTACGTTCCGGATAGAGGGGGAATAAAGCTCTGATCGGTCAATTGGAGCGGCCAACATATCTAACGGCTTCAACCATATATGGAAGTCAACAGAAAATGATTCGTATCACCACAACACGGATGCATCATAATATAGCTGAGGTGTGGAGACCAGGTCAATTCATACGTAGCAGTCTGTGCCAGTACAGGAGCTCCGGCTCTTCGAAAGCCAGCTCTATTGGTCAAGATAACATTTATCCCCATCGTGTTGCTCCGCAGCCCACGTCGCCTGTATAATACATTTCCTCAGGAAATACGTATATTTGCTTGATATTGTTAGGGTGAGGGGAAGTATCAAGTGCTGTGGAGACGCTATACAGGTCCAAGAATGTTGGTAGCTTGCAGTATGTTCAATTCAGTTTTCAGCTCTCATCGTGCTCTGACGTGTCCTGTAAATGAATAGTCGACCACAACTAGATTCTATTTTCCACTGTCGGGTATGAGGCATTTACTGTATTGACCGTGTTGTTCAGCTACCCAGCCTCTTCCTCAGCTTCTGGGTCCAACAACTGGTACCGTATGAAGTACTTGGCCAAGTCTATATTCACTCGTCAGGAACCCTCTTCCTCGTCTATCATCAAACATCTTTTTTTATTTTTAACCCAAAAGACACCCAATCATGTCTGACAGCAAACTGCCCAAGTTTCAGATCGTGCTTGACAGCAAGGATGGAGCCCCGTTCCCCTCGTTCCCCAGTTCTGAGGTTGAGGGTGGTGATCCCTCCAGAATTACTCTAGCATTGATCCGTCAAAAGGCTTCTATGTCAGTAATTACCCTTTTTGCAAAGAATAATGAGCCTGTGCTAATGCTCACTGGGATTCCACAGCTCAAAGAAATTGAAGTTCACTGCAGATGATAGGAACTTTGTCTCTGATGCGACTACTCTTGAATATTACTTGTCGCTGACTGGAGAGGTATTTTTCTTTTTGCTTTTTTGCATGCTTCCATATTTATACTAAAGCATGTTGACAGAGCTTGGATGGCAATGCTAGCAAGAAAGATGAAACCGGCGACAAGAAAGGCGAGGCTGAAAAGCCAGCCAGCAACACCAAGATCCCTGTGGCCCGTGTCAAGCTCATCACCAGCGCCACCATGAACAAGCCTAAGCCGCATGTTGAGCAATCCAAACTACAAGAAGAGCTCCAGAAGATGCTTGGCAAACTCGATGGTAAAGATGCAGCTGCGGTAGAGGATCTGAAGAAATTGTCTGATACCGTTGCAAAATTGGCGGCCGATTCAATGGATTTTGCTACGGTTCCTGGGTATGTCCTCCATTGTGTAGTTCCTGGGGTACTGTGTACTAATAGTCTCTAGAACGGAACAATATCCCGAGCCGATGGATATGACAGAGCAGCAATGGGAGCGTGTTCTGGTGAACAACCGGGCTTTTCATGGATACTACGCTGCACCTGGGAAAGGAGCTCTTCGGAAGGCGCGGAAGAAGGGTATGTTTTAGTATCTATGCATCAAAAAAAAAAAAAAAAAAAAAAAAATGGCTGTTCACTGCTAACATGCTAAAAGCGTTTGAACTTGTGCCACTTTCAACTAACAAAGAGACCAACGAGAATGCCGCTGACTGGCTTGTAAGTTTTGATCGGTCCTTACATGTTATTCATCGACTAATACTCTGCCATTAGGATCCTGTACCTCCAGTCCCTCCGTTCTATGTTTATGATGATGCCAAAGTTGTTGTCACCGAGACACTTGATGCTTTCCAATCCAGTATGGCACGTCAAGGCTTCAGTTCCCTTGCCGTTGAAGCCAATGTGTAAGTGATCAAGGGCCCACTTCAAAACATTTCTAATCCATGTCCAGCTCTGCCAGCCGCTTTGGAGTTGCTGGATCTGCCTCGGCAGCCTATGAGGAAGAAAATTCCAATGCTTCCAAGGAGGTTAAGGAAAAGTCAGTCCAGAAACTAGAAATTGCCTACAAGGTAAGTTGAAGACAACTGGATGAAGGTTTCCTCATCTGTTCTGATTATTCGTCTAGTTTCCACGAGCGGTGGTTGAACTGGATGACTTCTGTCTGCGTCTCACTCCTCAATGCATTGCTGATGCGAAAGCGACAACCAATGCCAAGGAGGTTGATGATTTCTATCGCGATTATGGTGAGACCATTTTTCCCTCTTACATTCAAACTGATAGACTTCGATATGCTGATCAGCTTTCCCAAATGTTTCCAGGTAACGCCTTCGTGACCACCTTCACTGTTGGTGGAGAACTCAACAGCTCTCGAACCCTCACACAAGGAGAACAGACCTCTATCACGACAACCAAAGAGAAGATGAAAGCTGCTGCAGCACTTAGCATCTCAAGCCCCTGGGCCAGCGGCGGGGCCAGCTTTGCCAAGTCCAATTCAAAGGAGGAGACTGCCAGCGAACAAGAGTTACACCAGAATTTGCAACTTGCTTGGGAAGCCCGTGGCGGTAACACCTTGCTCTGTACCAAGTATGTTGCCCCTCCTATATGTGATTTGGTCTGTTGATTTCTTTTCGTCTAACCGTGATTGATATAGTCCCTCGCAATGGGCAAGCACTGTCAAGGACTACCGCCTCTGGCGTCTCATGGATGTAAGTGCAAATTATTGCTCGGATGAAGGCAAGAAGTCATCTTGAAGTACTAATTGAGTTATAGCAACAACAAGTTGTCACTATGCAGAGCCTCATCAAACGGATAAACCTAGGTATCGCCGACCATCTCGAATCGCCAGTCGAAGATAATGGAAGCAAGGAGAGAATTTTAGACATCTTGCGCAATATCCTGGAGACGTCTCCACCCACTAGCACTGCAACCAAGATCAGGAACTTTTACGAGAGCGACAAGTTTAAGGTGGAAGAGTACAACAAGCTCTTGGATAAAGATGAGAATCCAATGGACACAAAGGGGTCCTGGAACAGCCTTGAGATCGAAGAGAAGTGTAACGTGGGATTACTGGCGCTTCAGAAGAAGATTATCACGATTGATTAACGCTGCTGGCTCATAATTTTATTGAGGTTCATAGCTAGAATACCAACCCCTCCTCCATATATTGTCCTTGTTGAAGGATTCGATTATCTCCATGCAATCAGCAGTTTCACGGGCTCGGATTAGTAGTGCTAAGGGCTAAGCCCGCTGAGCTAATAACTAGCCAAAATACAAGAGATTTCGTCGAAGAATTCTGATGGAATGGCATATCTATCTTCAGAATCACTTCTATTGCGAAACTCGTTCTTATACATCTGTTAATCATGGTTTTGTGTCGGTACAGTCGGGTCTGCAGATAATCCGGCAGCGATGCTATCGGATCCGAGGATCGAGAGAGAAAGAGAGACTGCTATGAAGCTATATGGACAAATGGAGTTGTTACTATGGAACAATCTGGTAATTGTACAGGATCCTGATCGGTATGAAGAACCGGAATCAGGGAAAATGTTCCTATCTAAAGAGTGTGGTGGAGCTCGCGAGAGCAATCCAATAATAGTAGATGATGGTGAGTGCTGACACCTCAGGCATCTGCCAGGTTCGACACGACGTTTATTTTATACGCATAGCATAGATAGATGTACAGCGATCATTGTTTATAGAATAGCACTAAAAAAGGTAAGAGTAGCATGAATATCGCCACTAACACAAGAGTATAACTTCCTGCTGTCAGTCCTTTGTCTATACTCTGTCCAACAGCAACCGCAAGAACAGCGACAGCAAGACTAATGAGCACAATGAAACAGATCGTGATAAGTAGCCTTTTCATGTGCCACCCATCAATGAGCAACAGAGCGGGGATGCTCTCCCCATATCCATCAGCTGCATCCAGGAAATGCGTCGTCTTCAAGTTGCTAGAGGCAATTAGCACACGAATTGTTGGCCCCATATACAATGGTAATTATCTGTAAGAAGTAACCAGACCAGACTCTCTGAGGAATGTTTGACGGTTCAACGCTTCAACACCGCCTCAGTGGCTGATATCGACAAAACACCACCATGCAAGCATACAAAGAAAGTGATTAGCGCGGCTATAGGAGTCATGGATAAAAACCCCTTTCCTGTAGATAGATTCCTTTTCTTCTTTTCTCTCCAGATTCGATACTCTCGTCGATGGCTACAATAGTTTAGATAGGAATTCAGTTCGTTAGTATCTACTATTCCGAGCCCGTGACAACAGGCCAGGCTTTGGTGCAAAGGGGAGAATAAAGGAATGATTGGTCACATATGCAGATTCAGCATATGTGAATTCAGTGAAAAGTCAGTCAACCACTGGCTTCATATTCTAGATTGATGGCACACCAGTCACCTGGGTGGGCAGGAAGCAGTCAGTAACTGCACAGCTCAATGGAGGCTAAGTATATAGCTGTGTCGGAGGTGGTCAAGCAAATGATTTGGACAAGACACTTTCTCTATGCTATAGGGAAGGAAACTGTTATCATGGAGCACCTATGACCATATATGAAGACGACCAGGGAGCCATCAAGATTGCTGACAACCCAACCAATCAACCCACGACAAAGCATATCGCGGTACAGTATCATACTATTCAGGACCATATCAATGATGGGGAGATCCGCCTTGTACATCTTCCTACCAACAAAATGACTGCAGATAGTTTGACGAAGGCAACCGACCATGTCAGCCAGGTTGAGGCCTTGGGACTCGCTTAATGAAGCAAGTGAGGATCCAACAGTTATCTATGCACATTCAACACCGCTACATTCATTTAACTAGATTGCCAGATTATTTGATTGGATTTTGTGCAGTATTGAATGAAGGGGAGTGATAAGGAATAACTGTCACAACCTGGCTTCTCTCGTATCGTAACCTAGGGTTCTAGTTAGTTAAGTCTCAGTTGGGGGCACTCACCTGAGTGTCCTTCGTCGTCGTCGTTATATCAATAATGACCCCTAGGGTCTAAGTCGTAATGCGCCGCGTGGTATATCGCCCCAGTAAGGCTCCATAACAAAGTATGCGCTGCTTGGTATTTCGCCCCAGCCAGGCTCCGTAAACAAGTAATCTGATAGAGGTGACGAAGTAGAGAAACAAGGCCAACTAAGTACGTATACTTAGTTGTTGGTTTAGTGCTGACGAGTCTGAACTAGAAAGGTAACCAATGCTT